ACGACAGTATTTCTAGCCGTATTTCCAGATTTATCTGGCCGAACGCCCTCTTGAGGCATAGCATTGTGTAATACAATGTCCCGACGGGTATTTGGACCTGCTCAACCATGAAGCCTTCGTGGTCTAGTGGTTATGAAGCTCGCCTTGAAAGCGAGAGGTCGCAGGTTCGAATCCCGTCGGAGGAATTTTATAAGTTTCTGTAAATAGAGACACCTCGGTTTGCTAAACACAATATAAACTAATGGATAAATAATAATAATAGTGCTCAGATAGGAATGTAAGATGTAATCATCGTATTACTATTATTTATCGATTTGGTTATTTATTTTATTGGACAGGTCCAATATTACTATTATTTATCGATTTGGTTATTTATTTAATATATAAAATAATATGCAGGATATGCCCCACAAAAAGGCGTATGTATATTTACGAGGTCATTTTCAATTCAATAGAGGGATTCAGCGATGATTTTTTACAGGCGGACACGTGACCTAACTTGGGTATACATGAAAAACAGTACAGTGCGATAGCCTATGAAAAGATACTGTTATGGTTGCGAAAAAAAAAAAAACACTGACTGTTAACGTAAGAATTAAATGGCTAAGAAAGGCAATACGATAGTTCAAAATAGTGTTTATTTACTTATCCTAGCGTTCTCCTTGGACTGTATGCTTTGAAATTTAAGTGAATCTTCACAAACCTTAGCTGGCACTAACATCGCAGCGTAGTTTGTGGGTCGAATACCATCATGCATATTTAACCATGCCATAGATGTGCAGGGGCCTAGGCCTAACATTTGTCCAAAAAATCTCCATGGTTGCTGCCAGTATCCTTTACAGCATTTATCAAACCATTAAGGCAAAATTCTTAAGTTTAATTTCCAAACAAATTAATTGTTATAGTTTACTAAGAATTATGATCTTTACAGCAATAAACAAGGGCCGACCGCGATAGCAAACTCCATGTAAAACACCGCTGTTTCAGTGGATTGTTTATATCTAACATTCAAGTTACTGTAGGTCACGTGACGCCCATTTAATAATTTATTCAGTTTAGTCCATCAGATATTAGAATTCAATAGAAATATGTTTTGAAGTAATACAGCAGAATATAACAATTATGAACAATGCCGTTTAGAAATACAAATAAGATAGTAAAAAAAGTTTTTTTTTTTGTTTTTGTTTTTTTTTTTGTTTTTTTTTATATTAGCAACCACTATCAGAGGACGGGTAGCCATCTCCATTACCTGCTTTTCATTGAAATTTAAACAAAAAACTTACCTCCGAGTCGCCTGTTCCCCAGTAAATGGCAGACTCATTTATGTCCAATTTGCCATGCGTATAGGAGCCCACCTCGACTAATTCAATGATTCCATCTTCTGAAGGATTACCATTTAAGATGGTGTACGAGGGCTTAATTTGTCTGTCTTCTGAAAACCGAAAACTAGATCCGTTGTTATCGCTAAAATTTACTTTCTCCAAATAAGCCATAAGTTGCCATCTATCTAGCTTATCTATAGCCGGACACTCGTCATCGTCTAAAAGTCCCTCTCCAGACTTACATTCCTGGATATCCTTAAGTGCCTGTGCAATGGCATATACGGCAATGTACGTTGTGTACGCTTCGAAGTTCGTAACTGACTCTAAATAGGTTTTTGCAGCAGATTCGATAGTCTTATTGCCGATGTTTTCCTTCCACAATATCTCGTCACTACACTTTTGCATCGTTATGTTTTCTTTAGCACAAATCCAATCGAGAAAACTCTCAAGGAACTCCATGCTGTTGTGTTTCTGGTTTGTATCGAAGTTAGCAAGGTGATCGAAGAGATTCGGTAGTCGTTTATGGCTAATAGTTACACCAAGTACTGACGCAACACTACTGTAGTTATAAAACTCCGTAGATTTATCCGCCCAACCGTCCGTTGCTATCCAAACTTTAGCTATGAATGAAAATAATACATCAGCCTATAATTATTTGTTTTAGTTTGCACCATTACATCATATAGTTTGCCTATAGTATAACAAGTATGGTCATAGCCGTCATAAGCATTATTGTTAGCAAGTGATCCGGCCGCCGATGCAAATCGAATAACGCACAGGGGTTGATGGGTAATTATGCTAGACTACCATGGACCTATTAATAAGAATAATAGGTCCATGACTATACCAAATGAAGAATGCTACATAATTATGTTAAATGTTGATGAGACAGATACACGTACAAAACAAATATAGGTGGGAAAGGGAATACTATCTTATGATTTCTTCCAATGTACAAGTCCTCTGGAAAAACGACTTGATCAGAAGTTAACCCCTTAAATTGTAATTTTCAATTTTCTGATATTATTTTTAATTTGTTAACACTTAGGGGGAGATAATTGTATCTCTTTAAAAAGATGAAATAAAAGCTTGTTTAAATAAGCAATTCAAAAAATAAGTAAAGTGATTGACATAGATTTTACATGATAATAAGGTGGTAGTATATAATATCAGGGGTCTCGCCAGCTATACCGGTACTTAAGCGTGGCGGGACCGCCACGCTTGGGCGAAAAAAACGGGATGACCGCCAAGCTTAGGAAAAATAAGCGAAAATTTTAGTGCCACAGGGACGTAGCCAGGATTTTGAAAGGGGGGGGGGGAGCCGTTATGCGAATTACGTATGACCCCGGCGGGGTCAAGGGGCGAATCCCCCTGTGTGCATGTGAAGTAGCGCACTGTGAACGTTCTTAGGACTGTTTGAGAGGATAAAGTGAAAATTGCAATAGACGCATTATAAATAAGCGCAAAAATAATTATATAATAAATCAAGAGTGGCAGATCCAGGAATTCAAAAGAGAGGTGAACCAGGGAGGGACCTTCACAGACCGAGGAACCACCGACCTCAGCCCCACCATGGTTGGGGCTGAGGTAAGAAAATTTATGATTAGGGCATCTCTAGATGGCCGGAAATTACACTCTCGGACTTCAATTTGAATATATTTTTCTTTTTTTCCTTAAAAAAATGAAGGGGGGGGGGCCTTGAATCCACCTCTGCTCAAAACATTCTTTATCCAGAATAGTCATAATCACGAAAAATGTACATGAAAAACCAGATCACATCCTAAAAACAAACAGCAGTCACTAAGACATACATCAGGAGCCGACTCGATGGAGTTTAATGTCATACCCAGTGAAGGGCACAGATCTGTTTTGAAAGGTGGAGGGGGAGGGCATTTTGTGAGTCGACACCCACCTCAGCCCCACCATGGTTGGAGCTGAGGTGAGAAAGTTTGAGGAAATAGTACCTCTAGATGGCCAGAAATGACACTTTTAGTAAAATTCATCATCATCACATCACCATTAGTCAAAATGAAGCTCCAAAAAAAATTCTCATGATCTTTTGTCAGCGATTTTTGACAACCATAGAGATCTTATTAATGTGTGTGTGTATACCATAGAAAACCAAGCTTAAAAGCATTGTCTTTGAGTATGTACTTTAAATAGGCCTACTTCAAAAACGTGATTTCACAACCACCTCAGCCCCACCATGGCTGGGGCTGAGGTGAGAAAATTTGAGGAAATAGTACAAATATGACACTTTTATATCTGTCTCTTATACACATCTAGATGTGTATAAGAGACAGCTGTAATCATTAGTGGTCATGGGACTAGTTTGGACCCTACCTAAGCTGGTCGAACATTTCGTTTGGGTCTATACCCTTGCTGCACCGATGAGGCCTGGAAGGCCGAAACGGATCCGTCTGTAGATATTGGGATTCCTTCCAGTGGATGCTTAGTTTATTTTGTCATTCTGATCGGATTTTCTCTACTGTTCCGTTTTAATTTTAAATTTACTATCGTCATCATCATCATTGTTATTAATATTATTATTAATATTATTATTATTATTAGTATTATTACTATTAGTAGTAGTATTATTAAACAAACATTTAAAGAAACTTGCAAAAGGATAAAAACGAAATTGAACCGCAGTATCGCATTTCTATCTTAAAAGACCTGGCCTGAGATTTATGGATTTAAGATTTTTTTAAATCAAGCTAAGGCCTATGTGTTCTATTAGGCCTATGTATAACCATAGAGCAAAGAAACAGTTTCTTTGCTCTAAGGTATAACGTGTACTGATGCATATTTACATGTTTAGAAGTATTCATTTTGAGTGATCCCAGGAAAGAACTTGTATTCCCCCACTTTTCAAAGTAGGGGGAACATCATATCAATTGTCCCCCCCCCCCCCCCCCCCCCCCCCCCCCCCCCCTTCACCAATCTTCTATAGTTAAAACCCCACTTTTCGAAACGAGTGGTAAGAACAACAATTATGAATGACGGTCATGACTATTGTGCATTCACAATTGTTTGTACATTTCGTAACCATGTCAGTAACCGCTCCATTTATTTTATGAATGCACCGGACGGTTATCAGAGGTTAAATTTATTATGAAAATAATGTACTGTACGTATTTAAAATAGGAACCGTGCACACCTATTAGGCCAACATTTTTACGAACTCAAAGTTCACAATTTTTACTATAAACGATTTATTAATTTTGTATATTATTAAGGCCCGTATATTATACTAGTGTTCAATGTTATCTGCATACATAAATTCCTGTTTTTCCTAATTTAAAAAAAATTATAGTTAGTAAATTTAATTTTATATAGCCGTTATAAACAATAATTATACAGCCTTATATATATACCCACGGATAGGTCTGGCTATTTCGACTAATTTTAGTACTACTACTATTACTACTACGGTACTGCTACTACGGTACTACTACTACTACTACTACTACTACTACTACTACTACTAGGGACTTGGCCTACTATAATTATTAGTTCGTGAGTAGCTTTATACTTGTGCATGCACGTCAAGTTAAATAAACAAATGTTATTTCGTACATGTTGGTACAGTAGATGTACGCGTGAGTGATATTCCCTAAGGCCTAGGTCTACATTATTTTGTAGATAATAGGCTAATTATTATTTATTTTAAAATTTATTTAATGTTCTTTTAAGATAAAAAGTGGGGTTCAAGTCCGCGGATGTTTCACCCTATATTCGCCATCATAGTATTGTGGTCTTTGTTTGTTCTTGACGTTTAAAAATGCACAAGTACAATATATTGGTACAGATAGGCCTGTAATTCATGAAAAACGATGACAATAATTAAATAATCGTAACGATAGGCCTATGATGATGATGACTACGAATAAACTGGCCTATAATAAATATAGTTGACTTCTCGTAACCAGTGGGACTTGTTTTCTATTATACTGGCATCACCCCATCTTAAAAAGGTACTAGACCTGCTGGAGCGTTGCTTATCTCGCATCGCAGGTATTAAAACCCCTCTGAAAATTAATATTCATGATTTTATTTCCGAATCCTATAGCGCCACCAATCGACACTGCCTCAAACGTCCAGGGGAGAAAATCGCGGACGGCAGTGACAGGGCAACACGTACCCAACTATTTTAAGGGGGTTGTCCCCCTCATGTTTCGTAAATTCCTAAGGTAAATTCCTAAGGACGTCAAGAATATACCTGGAAATTGTTGAATTGAACTGCATAAATGACCAGATTTTAACGAAAGACCACTGTACAGGCAGAGAACATCTTATTTTATAACAAGATACCGGTGTTTTCTGTCCACAAACACATGAATTAACTATAATACACGACTCGAGTACGTGTGCATTTATTATAATTTGACAAGTATGAGAAAAAGTGTGTAAAGATAAATTGGTTTTCGGCTCATGAAGTAGGTAAAGTAGATAAATCGAAGACATGTGTCTCCTCAAATGTGGGTTGAATAATGTATTGATTTGACCATTTGGCACAACCATAGAGTGTTTCCGTCCTATTATAGTGGTTGGCCGTAGTGGTAAAAGATATTATTTTACTTTTATTGGCTATTTTAATCTGATGTGCCGTCTTTGCCATTGTGCTATTTTGTTAGTTATTGTTTGTTCGTTTGGCTCTCAGCCCATTGTGTCCTCTTGGCACCCCTCTGGCCATTTTCTGATTCGTTGTGCCGAATATGAAATAATAAATAAATAAATATTAATTTTCCTCATTTTACGACAAATTGTCCTCTGAGTAGGTGTGCCTAAAAGTAGGGTTCTACTGCGTAACATTGGTCGTATATTTTGTATCTTGGACGGCATTTCTATGAGATTATCTGGAGGTTTTGGGTCGTAGGAAGCTATGGCAACAAATTCTGGTCCTAGGGAGTAAAAGGTTGCCAACCGTAGGATTGATAAATTAATTAATTTCATACTCTATTTTGTGTTGTTTTATTAATGTGTGTGTGTTGAGGAGCCCTAATGATGGGCTTCGGCTAGATGGATCACCCTCATTAAAAATTGTTGAAATAAAATAAATATATTGTTCGAGTCTAGGTCTATGTAATTTAAGCCATCCAATGTATCTGATGTTTATAATTTTAAAAAATAATAAGATAAAATTTAACATTTAGACATTATTATTACCACCAATTTTAGGTGTGAAGATGCATTTCATTTCAAGTACCTAGTATAGGCATATATGTATGTTATTTGTAAACTACAATGATAATTTAACCAAAAGTGTTTTCAGCACAAAATATTTTACTATCATTAAGAATTTATAATTGATAGGTAACTATATATATAGTAACTATATATATAGTAACTATATACACTACGGTACTCGACAATAAATACAGTAGTAGTTCTACACCAGTAGGCCGCTGCATTTCTAGTTCCATTCTACACTTAGATACTGATGAGACTACATTGGAAATAGTCCTAGGCCTACGTCGTTACTAAAAATGTCCTCTATACGTTCATGCGTGCGTTGGCCGAGAAAACGTTGCAATGCGGGGATCCGAGAGTGCGCGATCGGAACCACCGGGAAGCAAGAGAGGATGCCTATCTAGGCTAGGACCTAAAAAAT